CAACTGAGATGGCCTAGGCAAGGCCAAGTCACACATGTATTTTTTTCTTAAGTGTAAATACTTAAGAGGCTACTTTTCTTGGTAGTCTCACCTTGCAGGTAGTAGCTACCGACGTCTTCTTTTGGCAACCTTACTGACTCCCAAAGACCACCCTGGAAAAGAAATCATCTCGGATTCATGTTCAGGCAATGCTAAGGGCAAAGAGTCCACGGACTGGGGGTTCTTGTGCTTTTTACCTCAGGGCTCTCCAAGTAAAAGGTAATACTCTCACTTCCATAATTGAAGTCAATCCAGAACTCCTCCAGTTTGTCATCGGCTGGTTTACTTAACTTGGAAGCAAAAGAAACTACCATCAATGATTTCGGTTTGTTTCCAGAAAAACAAAAGCAGTACCACATCATGCTGTGAATATGCCTTTTACTGAGCTACAAGATTACCCAAGAGGCAAGCAACACATTATTCTGCAGCTTCATGGTGGGAAGTTCCGAGATCCCATCTCCCTAGAGAAGTGCCGTAAGTGTGCCTACTCTTCACCCAAGGGGAAAGGCAACTGGGGAAGATTAAGGGAACAAGCAATCAGTGGGGCAGCAAGGAGCTGGTTAAGCCTCCCCTTCTACAACATAAATCATCCATCTTGAAGGCCCTGTGCAAAGGAAAGGGGGTAATCTGGCCTTCTCCGCACATGCAGATTGCTTAAGTATAAACTGTTGCTTACCCCACACTGGACAGCATCAATACTCAATTAGTTCTGGCTGATTTTTCTAAAATGGAACAACTGTTTCAAGTATCAAGAGATGATTCTGCCCTGGTTCACAAGTAATGCTGATTCATGCTAAGTTTAATCTTAAGCCAGATCTTTGGTTTCTGGGACTAACTTGACAACCACAAGGGATTGGCGCCTTTAAAACTTTAGACTTATGGACAGATTTATTTATTTCATTTTACTTCTATGCTGCCCATAACCCAAGGGTTCTCTGAGCAGCTTACAAATGCTGAATTCTAGGTTTGCGGGATCCACCTTGTTTTTCAATAGAACACCAAGTTCCACTATATCTGGGCCCAAATGGAAAACATTTGTGGATGTGGATGCTGGTAACTATGCACTTAGAATTATACGACAAGCTTTAGCTTTAGCATAGCTCAGCCCAAGAATTTGCCTTCAACAACAGAACCGAGTGTTCACTTAGAAGTCTACTGCTGAGTTCTCCCCTCCTAATATGTATTGCTTCCAGTCTCATTTTTAAGTCATTCGGTTATCACAAATATTAAACAATTGAGAGCATCCTGGTTTCTCCAAGTTGGATGCCTGTTTGCAGAACAGAACACTTTGCAAAGCTGCTGCAAAGCACCCAGAGATCTGCTTGGAAATTACCGAAAACCTTCTCATTTCACTAGCCCAGGGGTCGGCAACCTTCAACACTCAAAGAGCCATTTGGACCTGTTTCCCACAGAAAAGAAAACACCGGGAGCCACAAAACTCGTTTGACCTCTAAAATGAAAATAACACTGCATATATCATTTTTTACCTTTATGCGATGTATAAAAAAACTATAGTGTGTTGCATTTATGAAACAGATTGGCGGCTGTGCCGGCACGTGTCACAGATCGGCAGCTGTGAGTGATGGAGCCGCAGCAGAGGGATTCAAGAGCCATGGGTGGCTCCGGAGCCGCGGGTTGCCGACCCCTGCACTAGCCCTTTGAGGACAGAGTTACCTTTCCCCCAATAGGTTGGAGCCAATGGTATCACTGTGCTGACGGAAGTGTTTCCCAATGGAACTGGGAAGGAGAGGCAACTTCTTCCCTATTACTCTCCACATCTGCTCCAAAGGGCCTAGGAAAACCATCCTGAACAGATTTTTCAGGGGTCTGAGGGCTGAAGGAGGGTAGGAGGAAATTCCATCATGCTAGCAGGCTACAGCTAATCTGTAAGTAGGTTTTATGTCACTTTCCATTTATGGTTTTACAAATACTGCTTGCATGCTATGCCAGAGGTGCAAAACTTCAGGTCTGAGGACCATACCCAGCCCAACTGAGGCTGCACCCAGCTCTTCTGAGTCCCTGAAGGCCACACCCCACTCCCAAGCACTGGCTTTTCTGGGCTTTTGCACAGTTCCCCATCCTTGCTAAAAAGCAGAGATGCTTCTCCTTAGGCTTAGTTACTGACAGTAAGATCTTCACCCTGCATTAACAAAGAACTAGCCCTACTGCCTTTAGGGTCATTTTGGATGCCAGGGGAAAGTGCCTCAGGCAAAAAATAATGCTCCATGTGAAAAACCTTGGCTCTGGCTGAAGTTTCCCCCAGGAAGTTTCTTATTAGCATAAGAATAGCTTGAACTCTCAGCAAGTACAGGTAGTTTCAGGTTTAATCCTTCCTTGAGGCTGTGCAAAACAAGAAAACCTGCATAACACAGCATGGCACATTTACTTTTTCTTTGCGCAACACTAGTTTGATCTACTACCTTCAAAGAATCATAACAAAGCTTTACTTCAGTGGATTTTAATTCTGTTTGCTGGAGGTTTCAGCTAAGAAATTTAACTTCAAACAGAAACCAAGATGATCTGTATTGAACCTTTGTTGGGCCTATTGTTTGGGATATTAACTATCCCATATAATTATCCCTATGGTGATTCTGGGGTACTTTTGTGCCTTGGGAATGTTTTGGTTTATGGGAGGGAAAAGGTAAAAGGCAGGAAACTGAAATTTAGGGATGCTTGACTAGTCACTTTGTGCAAATGGCCAGGAAGGATTATGAATATCCCAACAAATGCCCTAATTTCCTCTCCCCACTAATTCCTGAACTAGTAAGAATAGATATCCAGAAGCCACAGTGGTTCTTAAACACCCTTGAGTACTACAATATCATGAAGTGTATTTCTTTGAAAATTACCTCAATCATGTCAGCATGAGCCGATTTACACGGAATTGAACAGACCCTGCAAGAGTAGCAAAATTCATCTTGGGGCATCCATCCACAAGCACAATCCCTGTTGCATTCTCCCCTAAGAACAACTACATAAGCAATGCCTGTATGGGTAGATTTCTGCAGGTCTGCAGCACTGCTGAAGTGCACCAACATCTGCAGAGCAACCTGGGGTCATCCTGCCCCAAGTGAGGTCTAAAGGCTAAGGGTTAGTCTCGTTCCCACCAGGAGAGGCATTTCAGTTGTGCTAATTGTTACACAGTTGCAATGCTCCTCTTTGATCAAGTTATACTGAGCACAGCCCAAACTGATAAAAAAAAGCTCCTGCACAAATGGCAACAGCACCAGAACATGTGAAAAAAGAATCGGGTAAGATTGATGCAAGTAAACAACTGATGCAAAGAGCTACACATAGAGAATACATTTCTCCAAAGCCATGCAGAGTTCTCAGGACATCTAAGTATTGTTAGATACACCCAGGTTTGCTGTGAGATACACCCAGGTTTGCTGTGACCAACTGCAAGACTGAACATGAGAAATGGTGATTTATCCTATGATAGCATATCTCTTTGGAGAACTTTAAGGTAGGTCAGCATCAGCTCATGCCAGCATAATCTGTCATGGAAAATAAGGCCAGCCCGCATTATATTCCATGCTCCATCAACAATTCACGCTTCATTAAGAGAGCTAAGTTCCTTTGCACACTGCTAAGGTTTTATCAGAAACCCTAAATCAAGGGAGATGATTTCCTGCAGCCAGCATTGCATGGAGAGGGTACAACTTTGGTCATTCCCATGTGACTCTTTGCAGCTTCTGACACTACTACAATATTATGGAGAGTGCAAAGCAGTGGTGACTCCCACAGCTAATCAAACAGACTAAAGTTTTACTTGACACTGAGGGACAATCCTCTGAACATGCACAGGACTGTGCCTTTAGAAGCTTGGTTAATGGAAGACCTGCATATACCTTTTAAAAAGTGAATGGAATTCTAAAGGAATTTATTCCAGTCCAAAGCTTACTGCCAGATGAGGGGAAAAAATGAAATGTTAATATGAAAATGCAGTTGATATGGGACAGTATTACTTCATAAAACAAAGAAAACCAACTAAAACCTTGTGTTAGTAGTTAGGGTAGGCCTTGCTACTGGAGATGCAAGAAATAACTAAAATGCAGAAATAATTCATTAAAGTAAATGTTAAAACCCATGTTCAGCAGGACCAGTTTAAAAGACCACTCCGCTGCTCCCAAATTACTACACTTCTTAACCCTGAACCATTAAGGCCTGTTGGCTGAGACACCCACAGAAAAAATTTTATCCACAGCACCAGGATTTCTTATTACTAAATCTCTTACTGCTAACTGTTAACATTGTTTAGATTACATGTATATTGTTCATATATTGGTATATAAATTGTTTTTCTTTTTCCCTTTAGTTTCTAACCTTGGTAAAATGTCCAGAGTTTTGGCTATTGGGCAATTTAGAAATGTACTAAATGAAAGCTTTTCTTTGGTGGGAGGGATACTTTCCATGTATGAGCATAAGAAATCCAATCATGGAAGTCAATTGTTTTGGTATCAGGATGACAGCATGCTAATCCTTACTCCACAGAAAGCATCCATGGCAACACAGGACACTTGAAATCCCCTGATCAGGTTCAGGGACTTAGACCCATTACCACAAGATTGCACCCTTAGTGCCTTCTGAACTTTTAAGATCCAGGAAACCACCAAACATGCCAAATCAGAGCAGAGTAGCTAAATATATATTCTATGTTTTCTATGCATCCCAGAATTCATAATTAAAAGGTTTAGATTTCACACTCTAGATTGGTGCAATTCTGCAATCCCAAGTATAACGCCATCTGCCAACATTACATGCCTGAAATGGACACACTTTTGCATGCTTGATAAACCTGCTTTTGCAATGCCTCAAAGAGACATCTGCATGGGGAGAGAAATGAAACTAAGGGCTATTGTGGATAAGCTTCACATAAATAATTCCTAACCAAAACTTGGAGGCACCTGTGCAAAGCAAGTGCTCAGAAACCTTCAGGTGAGATGGAGCATGACAAGCCCTTACCTTCGTTTATCCCCAAGTGTTTCATTCACTTCATTAAGAAATTTCCTGCTGTCCTTCAAGAGAGGAAAAGAAATAAGAAGTCACAGTTCTCAATGTTGCTTCTTGGCAAAATTCAAGAATTCGTTTTTTAAAAAGTCACAGGGATTACCTAGTGATGCCCAAGGCAACACATGTACCTTTCATACTGGAAACTTGAATTTGGTTTAGTGTCAAACTGAGGAACAGTACAGATTGCCTGCAGACCTGTTTTAAAGTCAACTTGCAATGTTCAATTTGCCTCCTTCACTCTCCTACCCACAACCCAGAGAGCACAAACAATTCACTTAAAAGCAGAGAAAAACAAATTCGTTACAAGCACGTTAAAAGTTGCTCCAAGTGTTGTTACGCGCTTAAAAATTGGCAAAAGCACACGGTAGCTCATGAAGGAAGCTTGCAAAAGCATCGACATGAAAAACAAACACCCCTACCGTCTCAAAATCTCTATCTTTGATTTCTGTAAAAGCCTTGGCAATATGTTGATCCTCAAACCAATTGTGCACAAGTTCATCTCTCCACTTTTTCAACGTCAGTCTGAATAGGGCTTCCACAACAGCAACCTGGATGTCATAGTCTGCAGGAGAAAGAAAAATTCATAAAAGCATTTTGCTCAGCATTCACCCAATGCCCTTGCAAACACACATCTGGAACATTCCCTTCCCGACACAAGTTGTGATCAAGATGTACTTGATTCGGCCTCCAGAAGAGTCCATTGGGCAGTGATTAGAAACACTGTTCTGCTGAAGGAAGAAAAGGACAATTTAGGTTTGGTGCTATGTTATTCTGTGGACTTAAAAGTAAATTATGGCAGTGTTGCATTTGTTTTGCTTGTGACTTTTATAAGAAATAGTTGATTGATATGAGAAGGTCACAGATCCTTTGGTCCCATTTCAGCTAAGGTGTGCCTTTCTCATCCCCTTAAAAGTTATGGGAATGAGATATACACAATTTGCTGAATTTAATTCTATTGCCATGGAAGATATCTCACCTTTCAAAAGACCAAAATGCTGAAAATGCCATGAGTACCCAAAAATATCTAACACATTTATTAATTTGTTAATAATTAACATTGTAAAGGGCAGGATACAAAAACTGTAAATAAATAAATTTTATTTATTAAATAACGTCCTTCACTGGATCCCAGGACAGTTATAAAATAAAAGCAAAGCACTGACCATCAACTGACAACAAATAAAAGCCATCTTAAAAAACAATGTCAATACTTAAAATATCAGGCAAATAGCAAGTAGGTAAAGTGAGGCGGGAATACCTTCCCCAGAGAGGTGTCAGGCACACCTCTCTGGGGAGCATATTCCATAATAAAGACTGGTTTGTTCACAGTATTTACACAGAACAATCATTTCAAATTAAATGTGAATCCAACCAAGTTAAAACAGTCTTTGTCCAAGCATTTGAGTTATATTCTTCTTTCCTCTGAAAGTTTGCCTTTTAAGTATAACAAGTAAAGCCCCTTTAAAGTCTAAACATGAATGGAAATTAAAGCAAGTTTGAGACATTGCATTTCCCTCTGTAGCTGTGTTTGATAGCCAGGTAGAATGGAAAACACAGATACATGCAAAATGGTCCTAAGCATATAGAAATTCAAAAGTCAAGACTTTTAACAATGAAGAGATCCAATTCTGTGAGCAGACTGCAAGCAGAATTAGGCAAAAGTCTAATTAATTAATTAATTAATTCAGTTTTAGGTACACCAGAAACACTCTGAAATAAGTTCAACCATACTAAGTTTGGTATTCTATCCAAGGTGCAACACACGAGAATGATAAAGAGACCTATGAGCCATTTGAAGCAACTAGCATTGGTACATGAGCTACAGCAAGCGAGAAATCACTCAACCTCACATTGGAAGCACTTCCCAGAACTTGCAAACAGAGTGTGAGCTGTTTTAAAAGTGAGTGAACAAAAGCATGCGCAGTTTTCTTCTTTAAATTGAAAGCTGGAACCTTTATCTTAAAAGCTTAGCAATCCTACAGGGTTGCATGTAGCAGAAATCACTTACACAAGACCAGACACCTGATTTTCGTCAATCCCATCCACTTAGCGTAGCCCTCATGCTCCCCCGAAACGGCTCCTTGGGGTTTCAGGCCTCTCCAGAATAACAAGATTAAACATGGAAGGCTGCACCAAGTAGGAAAATCACATCCCCAGGGAGCATGAGTAGAAGCATTTCCCACTCATTAGTACAAAATCACCACTGGGTACAACTTGTGCTTTCATGTTCTATGGGCTTCACATACGTTATCTCAATTCTTCAAGTTACCCTGGGCAATAGGCTGGTATTACTAGTTAATTCTACATCCAGAAGTTGCCTACAGCCATACTGTGAGTCTTTGACCAGTGTCAAATTGTGCCAGTTCTACTCAGAGTAGCTCTACTGAAATAAATAGGCCTAAGTCCCAATACAATTCCACGGGCAATAACCAGTGAGACCATTCTGACTTCTCTGGGCTTCCTAGTTCAGTTGCACTTGCTGGACCCCTGCTTGCACCATGGAGTTCTGAGTGTCCAGAAATTAATCTAACTTCATGTTTCTAATGCCTATTCAAAACAAGCACCTGAAATTTTTGTACCTGAGACCAAGATATGAAATATTGCTTACCACCAACATCGAGAATTGTTTTTGCAAGTTCTTTCCTGAAACAAAACAACCCAGTATTGAGTATTAGGTCTAGGGAGAGGGAAATTGTAACTGGATGTGTTGTGTGCATACAGAAAGGTCAACATAAATACACGGGATGATACCAAATTTTTGCCAATATTAATTAATGTATTCTGAGAGCAACATGAAAGATTAGGGTCACAGTAACCAAACGACCTCCTCTTTCATATTGCTTACTTTAACAAACACACAGATCTATCATCCATACATGCATAGACATAATAAAATATAGCTGCTGGCCATAAAAATCACAGCAGCAGCAGCTTGTCAAACTTCCCTCTAAGCCTTGCACCATTCACTGAAAGCAAGACAACCCTGGGCTGTATCCAAGACCAGCTTCACACTGGTGGAAAACATTCCCGGTTACACAAGGCAGATCAGAGTTTGCCACTGCCCCACAGCAGCCACTCAGTCCATCAGTGGCACTGTTCCTGAAGGGAGGAGGGCCCTAGCCAGATGGAGAACTGGACCAAGGGTTTCACTATGGTGGTAGAAAGCAGCAATAAAAACCCACTGGGACGTTGTTTATTACGTTTTTATACCACCCCATAGCCCATGGGCTCTCTGGGCAGTGAACAATTTAAAATAATATATACAATAAAAGATTAATACAGAACAAAACCATAAAAAACAATAAGACAACAACATTGCAGCTATAAGAACTTAACCTCTTGGTAGAGCAGCAAATAATAAAACCCAAGAGTTCAAACAGTCCTGTGTGACTCAACTATTAAAATAACCTGAAAATAAAAAGGTTTTCACCTGGTGTTGAAAGGAGAACAAAGATGGCACCAGGCCTACCTCCCTGGGAAGCATGTTCCAGAGGCAGGGTGCCACTACAGAAAAAGCCCTTCTCCTAACTGCTAATCCTCTCACTTCTTCAGGAAGGGGTTCCCTTAGAAGGGCCTCCACAGGTGATCTTAAAGAACAGGTAGGAACATATGGGAGAAGGTGTTCCTTCAGATAACCTGGCCTCAAGCTGTTTGGGGCATTAAATGTTTTAACAACATTCTGAATTGGGCCTGGACGTCAACTGGCAGCCAATGCAACTGATGGAGGACCAGCGTGATGTGATGTCACGGGCCAGTCCCATTAATAGCTGTGCTGGCCTGTTCTGAATTAGCTGGAGTTTCTGGGCCGTTTTCAAAGGTAGCCCCATGTACAGCATGTTACAATAGTCCAAACGCGAGGCTACCATTGCATGGATAGCCATGGCCAGGCTCTGCCTGACCAGACAGGAACATAGTTGATAAATCTGCCTAAGCCGATATAGTTTTTTTCTTTCAACTGACCGTTCCCTTTTGTGCTTCAGCAAAAGCCCATGTTTCTGCTAAACAGAACTAATACAAAATTATCCTAAGGTGGGAGGGAAACCACCCTTCCCAAGCGTCTAATAGAGAGAGTCACAAGGTACAGACCCTAATGAGCGCCTCTGTCCTACAAACCAACTTACGTCAGCAGACCCATCTCTTCGGACACAACAAACTTCTTTCTTTCCTCTCGTCCAGCATTATCCAACAGAGTGTTTAAGGTCCTCAGAGTCTTTGATGCAACAATTGAAAAAATGCAGAAGAGAGCAGGAAATAAATCTATGAATGGTAGCTTGGTTTTACTTGTTAGAACTCATTCTACGGATTGGTCATTTGAAACAAACCTCTTGCTGAATTGCGCAGGTCACATCTGATTCAGTAGCCAGATGTCCCAAATAGGGAATGAAGGACTCGAGCAATTGCCTTCTCCCTAAAACATGAAATTGGGTGGATGGTGAAATGCCAGTATCAGGTTGAAAGGGGAATAAGATGACTAAACTTAGTAACTGATGCCTCATAATCTTCCCAATTCAGTTTGACAAGAGTTTTATCATATTGTACAACAGGACTGTTTTTTGTTCCCTTGTTTAAAAAAAAACTTTAAAAAGTTTAAATTATTTACATTTTACTAGAGCCACAACATTTTAGCTGATCAACTGCTGACTGAATACATGTTGTTAATGTACAACCATATCTGGCTTCTGAGATAGCAAATGAAGTATGAATGTTGCACTTATTTCGGTAAGTGCAAGTGAAAAACCTATCGCTCAGTTTTTGAAATTTCTTTGTTTCTGATGTATTTCTGCAACAGAGAGCTGTGTGGGGGCTGGTAAGGATGCTCTCACCTCTGAAGCTTTACTGACCGTGGGAGGCCCAGAGCAATCAGCTGAAACTTTTGTTACTTATTTAATGCAGACTTCCCAACATTGTGCCTTCCAGATGTGGTGGACCGCAGCTCCTGTAATTTTCCAGCTAAAAGGATAATGAAGCCCAAGTAAGGCTTCACACATGCCCCTTCTCAGTCTTTTTCTCTGCAAGGAGTTATGTCCCATATTAGCCCTATTTAGGGAAGACCTACGGATAACAGAACTTGACTACAACCCAAGATCTCAAAGCAACTTATGAATTAAGCCCAACCCTATGCATGCTTATGCACAAGTAAGCCTCAACTGTTCTCACTGCACAGAGGATCACAATCACAAAAATATATCCATTAAACAACCATGAAAGCCCCTCCACTTAAAGAGCACTAGATCAGTATAAAAAGTATTCAGTGACTGACCTTCACTGTTGCTTTTGCTGATAATCTGAAAACAAGGTGGCGGGGTGGAGGGGAAGGGAAAGAGTAAAAGCTGAATGGAGATATCCCAAATAAGTACCTCATCTTTGTAGATAACAGAGCACTGAAAATTCTGCCCACTCATTTCAGACTATCCCCTTGACCCTTGGATGCCATCTGCAGGGCACAGGATCGCTCCCTTAAGCAGGCATATGGCACACTTCAAGCATTTATAGTAAAGACAGGAAGGTGGGCCTTCTAGGCATTGCTTCTAGGTATTCTAGTCTGTAACTTCCCTCGTCCCTGGCTATGTTGGCTAAGGTGAATTACAGTCCATCAACTACTGCAAAACCACATTAATTAATTTATTAATTTTTCGATTTATATCCTGCCTTTTTCCTCAAAGGGCTCAAGGCAGCTTATATCTCCTCCTCCATCTTATCCCCACAACAACCCTGTGAGGTAGGCTGGGCTGAGAGTCCGTGACTGGCCCAAAGTCACCCAGTTGGCTCCATGGCTGAGCCAGGACTCGAACCCAGATCGTCTGAGTCCCAGTCCCATCCTCTTCACCACTACGCCACACTGGCTCACATTTCCCATCCCAGGATCTAATATGCACTGTCTTGGCATAGATGAAAGAACGATACTTCATGCTATGACCACTTAGGACCAGCTATTTCATACTTGTCACTGAAATCGCTTCTACCTGGTGGGTGCTTCAAAAAGCCTTACTGAGTCTGCTTCCCACATTAGTCATGATCAGGGATGGACAATGCATGGCCCTCCAGATGTTGCTGGACCTCAAGTCCCATCAATCCTCACAACTGGCAATGCAGGCAGGCTACATGTTCCTCACTACTATCATGGGTACCTACGTGCTAAACTGCTGTGTGGCCTTGCAATGGAAAATATTCTTGCAGCCACATGGTATACTAAACCACAGGAAGTAATTTTCAAGAACCTCTCTCTCTCTCTCTCTCTCTCTCTATCAGCCCTTCACACAACATAAATGGGCATCACTGCATTTTACAACGTTCTGAGGATGGCTTTCCACGCAAGTCCTTCCCAGTGATGTACTAAGCTTCCTTAGACAGTCCATTATGAATGCACGAAGAGTATCACCATAATCTGCCTATGAACTATGCCACACTTGTACACCAATTGTGTACAATTGGCCAGAGTAAACTGGCAAACCATGTGGGAAGGGATAAGGCCAAAGAGCTCTTCTCAAAGGCCACAAGTTGGCATGGCTATAGGGAGAAAAGAAAGATCACTTATTTACAGTGAAAGATCACTGTAAAGGCAGCTTTACAGTGCACAAATATTGACTGCTTCACGTGTCATGACAGTAAATCATGGTTTAAGAATACTACGGGCCCATGAATTATTTTAAGGGGTATATAGAGGATACATGTGCCATCTTTAGTTTGAGTAAGCAGCCTATGAATGCCTGATTAATATGCTGTTACTGTGAAGTCCAAGCCTGAATATTTTGGGTTGTCTATGAGTTAAACAACTGGCTCAGTGTGTGGTGCCAGAAGGAACGCTTCAGGTTCCTCAACCATAGCACCCAGTTTCTTGCCAATGGACTTCTGGCAAGGGACGGGTTGCACCTCACGAGGATGGGGAAAAGGCCCTTCGGAAATGCTCTAGCGAGCTTTGTCCGGAAGACTTTAAACTGAGTCCGGGGGGTGGGGTGTCCAGGGCCCCTAGGAACTTTTCCTGATTGGACAAGTGATGGAAGAGGATCAGGGCTCTGGGACCAGAGTGTTAGAGGTACCACAGGGGCTGACAAGACCCCTACAAAGAGGGGGCCAGTATCAGGGAAGACGGGAGGAAGGAGGAGGCTGGGGAACCCAAAGAAAGGAAGGTGTAGGAAGGAGGTGGTGTGCATGTACACCAATGCTAGGAGCATGGGTAATAAGCAGGAAGCGCCTGAAGTTCTCCTGGGAATAGGAGGGTATGGCCTGGTGGGGATCACAGAAACTTGGTGGGATGAAAGGCAAGACTGGAATGTGAACATAGAGGGGTATCACCTTTTTAGAAAGGACAGGAAGGGAAAGAGGGGTGGGGCTGTGGCTTTATACGTCAGGGAAGGGATAGGACGTAGTGAGACAGAATGCAGCACAGATGGGGATTCGGCAGAGGCAGTCTGGGTGAAACTTAGGGGTTTTGACAGGGAGAGGGACCTGACAGTGGGGGTAAGTTATCGCCCTCCAGTTCAACTGAGACCCTGGATGATGTCCTGACAGATCAGATTCTAAGGATAACTTGGGGGAGGGACACAGTAATTATGGGAGATTTTAATCTCCTGAATATTAATTGGGAGACTCACTCAGCGGTGATAGTCAGGTCAGTCGCTTCCTAGATGCTATAGAGGGAGGGTTTTTCATGCAGAGGGGCCAAGAGGTGTGGGGGGCGTGCGGGTGGGGGGGGGGGCATCCTTGACTTGGTCTTGACCAATAGAGAGGAGCTGATAAATGAAATACAGATTAGGGGAGCTCTGGATGTGAGTGGTCACTCCATCCTTTGCTTTGAGATCGGGGACTGGGGACATGCAGCAGGTCGAGTACTAGAAGCTGGGACTTCAAGAGGGCCAACTTTGGCCAACTGAAGGCCAGACTGGGGAAAGTCTCCTAGGATAGGTTACTGGAAGGCAAGGGAGTTGAGGAGGGGTGGATGGCACTCAAAAGGGTGGTTTTGGAGGTGCAAGCCTTGGCGATACCTCTAGTCAGTAAGGTGGGGAGGCGGAGGAGAGTGCCGCCATGGATGCGAAAGGAGGTGGTTAAAGGGATTAGACGAAAGAGGAACCTCCATAGGAAATGGGCACTGGGGCAAATAAACAAAATGGTATACTGGGAGAAGGAAGCCCATTACAGAAGGATTCTTCGCAAGGCTAAGGCTGATTACTAGCTGAGACTTGCATGTAAATAGCAAGAGGAAGGGGAGACTGGTAGTCTGAGGAGGAAGGGGATCCAGTGACTGATGTGAGGGAATGCTAAATGACTATTTTGCCTCTGTGTTCTCCCCAAAGCAGGACGGAGGAGATCCGCATGGGAGATTAGATGAGGCCAAGGACTTAGGGACACAGATTAGAGTCACCGCCCTAGAAGTTGAGGGGCTCCTCAGGGCATTGGACATTACAAAGACGCCAGGCCCTGACGAGTTACACCCGAGGGTACTTAGAGAGTTGGCAGGGGTTGTCTCATGCCCACTGGCCTCCATTTTTGAGGCCTTGTGGAAAATGGGTGAAGTTCCAGAGGAGTGGAGGGTGGTGTCAGTGGTTCCAATTTTCAAAAAGGGTAGTAGAAGAGACATGGGAAATTACAGACCAGTTAGCCTTATGTCCATTGTAGGAAAAACAATGGAAAGGCTCATAATAGGGAGAGATCTAGCGATGCTAAATAGGGAAGGGAGGCTGGCAGCCACACAACACGGCTTCCATAAAAACAGGTCCTGCCAGACAAACCTTGTGAAATTCTATGACAAGGTTTCAAGGTGGCTAGATGGAGGGGATGCAGGTGATGTGGTTTACCTGGATTTCAGCAAGGCCTTTGACAAAGTGCCCCATGATATCCTGGTTGAGAAACTGAGGAGTTTTGAGATAGACCAATGCACTGTCTGATGGTTGACTGATCAAAAGCAGAGGGCAACCATTAGTGGGGAATCATCAGGATGGTGGCCAGTGACAAGTGGGGTCCCCCAGGGTTCTGTCCTGGGGCCAATACTGTTCAATCTTTTCATCAACAACATGGAAGAAGGGGTCTGCTGATCGAATTTGCCGATGATGCTAAAACGGGGCAGTGGCCACAACTGAAGAGCAGGTACTCCAGATGCAAAAGGATCTGGATAGACTATGGAAGTGGGCAGGAGACAACAGGATGGCGTCCAATGTGGATAAGTGCAAGGTCTTGCACTTGGAGCATAGGAATGGGTGTCAGAAGGTCAGGTTAGGGACAAGTGGCTGGACAGCAGCACTTGTGAAAGGGATCTCAGGGTACTGGTTGACTGCAGGCTAAACATGAGTCAGCAGTGTGATGCGGTGGTCAAGAGGGCGAAGGCCACCCTTGGTTACATAGCTAGAAGCGTGGCTTCTAGATCGAGAGAGGTATCACTACCACTCTATACAACTCTGGTGCGCCCGCAACTGGAGTATTGTGTTCAGTTCTGGGACCCTTGTTACAGGAAGGATATAGTCAGGTTAGAGTCAGTGCAGCGTAGGGCCACAAGGATGGTGGCCAGATTGGAGGGAAAGTTGTATGAGGCGAGACTGAGGGAACTGGGTCTTTTCGGCGTGGAACAGACTCCAAGGGATCAGCTGGTGACACATAGGTATGTGAGGGGGTGTCACATGGAGGTAGGTGGAGAACTCCCCTGCAGAGGAGGGCAGGACGCACTCCAATGGAGCAAAGCTCAGGGAACCAAGGTTCAATTTGGATGCCAGGAAGTACTTCCTGACAGTCAGGACCCCAAGGGTATGGAATGGGCTTCCACGGGAGGTGGTTGAAGCCCCATTGGTGAGGGTGTTCAAGAATGGGCTGGACATGCACATGGTAGGCATGTCGTGAGTGGAGCTGGCTAGAGCCAGGGGTCAGACTAGATGGCCTGGGAAACCCCTTCTGACTCGCTTTGTTTCTATGTTTCTAAACAACTCAGTGTTAACCAAGAGTTTGTCAATGGATTAATTGGCCCATTGCTGTAGAAAGGCCATGACACAATCCAAATTTTTCATTTCCATATACTTACCAAGGCTGTATCAAAGAAGTCTTCAATAAGATTGGCCAAGAATTTACTTTCATTTGGGTCTATCAGGCTCAAAAATTCTCTTGTCCTCTCAAACCAAGTGACCATGTAAAGCCAAGCACATAAAAGCAGCATTAAAACCAATTTTAACGTTAAGTTGTAAAGAGCAATTAAATGTACAGGGACCAATGACAGAGGTGGTGTTTTTGTGCAAAGAGGCATAGATCAAGGCAAATGATTTCCACACTCACCATCACCACCTCCTCTGAGAAGATCTACATGATGGCAGCAGAGGAACCTCAGTCAACATTGCTTAGGTGCATGGCTGACTGGAGAGCCAGCTTCTCAATGTCAACAATCATGGCAACTAGGCAGCCAGCAGACAGAGAAGCATCTCTCCCCGTCACCACCTCTTGCACTTAAAAGCCAGGGCTCACAGGGATGTAATGCTGCACTTCCAAAAATTGTTATTCTACCAGGGTCACTGACATCAACCTCCACTCCCTTTCAGAGTTCCCTTTTCCCTCTGACCTGAGCTGCAATCCTCACAATAACTGAAAGGAAATGAATTTTCCTCACAATATATTGCTGCCTTTTGTACTGAACAGTATTCTGATGTGTCTCAGTCTCAACTGAGAAAAAAGTGGGATATAAATCTAATAAATGAATTAACCAGGTCATTACAATCTATCAGCTTCAGTGGAGATGAATACTGTACAACTGATTTGCTGAGCTAGATAAACAAAGCTGCCTGAATGTTTGGACTCGTCTTGGGAGTATGGCTACAGATCAGCACCTCCATTTCTAAATTTACCACTATCACTGCAAAGTAAGAGAGGAGTCTAGCAAACCACTTTGGCAATGCCAATTCCTGGCTCCATGCAGTCTGTTCTGAGGTCAGCCACAATTACGAGCTTTCTTGTATAACTAACCTTTGAAGAAGGATTCATTCCCTGCCTCCCAACTTTTCCACATTTTGTTGTATTACAGCCTGGAATTGAAATGGATTGAACTGGTATTATTACCACTTAAGATGAAGAAGGTACTTAACACTGTGAAGGTGTAAATATTTTTTACTGAGGCACAGCAGTTAATAAAAACAAACTGGTACTTGTTGATTACTTAAGCATTCTTATGCATACCCTTCCTCTATCAATATTTGGTAGAAGGACCTTTGGCAGCAATTACATCCCTGAGTCTTCTTGGCTAAGTTTCTATCAGCTTTGAGCTTCTGGATTCTGCAACATCTGCTCATTTTCACCTGGTGAAACTGCTCAAGCTTAGCCAGGTTGGATGGGGGACCAGTGATGAGCACTGACTCTCAAGGCTTACCCTGGATTCTCAGACAAAGTAAGTGTGAGTTTTGCCTGGGCCATTCTAAAACATTCGGGTTCTTGTTTTTAAAGGATGTGAATACTTCTGCAACCAACAAGTGCCAATTTCTTTTCTTATCTAACTTTTGGGCCACAACAAACAGATTCTGCACCATCAAAGTGCTGAGAATCTTGAATACATCAAGCACCAATTAAATTCATTTCCATTCCAGATTTAACACAACAAAGTGTGAAAAAGTTGAGGGGAGGGGTCAATACTTCTACAAGGTGCCACAATTATTAACTGGTCAGTAACTTCTATTCCAGGTCACTGCATTTTCTGCAATTTGAGCAGTTGATAAGGGAAGGCCAATCCTTAGCTTGCCAAGGCTTCCCTTCCCATGTGCAAATCTTAATGTGGGCTGCTGTTTCAGTGGCAATTCATCCGGACAAATTATTTGGGAAAGGGGGAAAAAAGAGAATGCCTGCAGCAATTATGGGGTTTTCAATTTCCAACTGATTTCTGCTAGTATGCAAGAATATCAGATATTCTGAGAAACCTACCTAAACAAACATAACATAAAGCTTATAAACTTTGCACACAAGTAGCAAAGTGAGTCCCAAAAAGCTGCTTTTGAAAAATGATTTGGTAATTAAACCTTACTTGAAAGGAAGAATATTTATTTATGTTTTAGTATCTTAAGCTACAGTACAGTAAGTTTGTAGGAAGAGTTGGGCCTGTTTAACCGATTTAACAGATCGATTACATGGCATTCGTTCAGGGAGTTACTTATCTTTGGTATCAATCCTTCCTGGAGAAACAGATCAAGACCTTCTTGGGGATCACTTCTACAGTACAGCTGAATACATTTCAACAATAGGGAAACGTTTGAAAATTCATTTTTGTCTAGTTCCTGGGTAAGAGAAAAATCCTAAAGTTATGGCCAAGACAAGCAATTCAATAATGTTTAGCTTGTAAGATGGAAGTTTTCTACTTGCCTTTTTTAGAGTTTTGTCCAGTTGGTTTAACAGTGACTTGCTATACTTCTGAGGAGGACAAATATCCTTTTCTTGTACCAATTCATTTAGTTTCTGAAATCCCTTCCCCTTAAAGGCATCACGTAATAGTGACTCTAGCTAGAATAAAAATCAAAATAACACTTCAAAACTAGTTTTCTCCTATTAAAGGTTAACCTGCCCACAGTAAGTCTATACATGTTAAACAGAGCAAAACAGGAACGTGCATTCTTCATTCATTAACCTGTAAATATTACATGGTATTGCCTATATCAAAGTAGCATCCATGTAAGAAAGTTGTCATGACTAAATATGTTAGGAGTTGGAAAATAAAGGGCTGTGAAATGAACAAAAATATGTACACTTCTTTGGAATAACTGAAATGGACAACATGGTTAAAGAACATACCAGTCTCATATGCATGAAGTGTTCTGGCACTGTTCATACTAAACTAAGCCCAATGCTAAGTGAAGCACTCGGTAGGCTTAATTAGGAGGCCTTAGACACAAATATCCCATGACCTTTATACTTGTACAATGCATGCATTTTGCATTACAAGCACATAGCTCAAAAATGAACTGTTACAGGGGCATTTGCAACATTTTAAGAAGACCTGTAGCTGGCACTTAGAGCTATATCTATATTAGGCATTATCTCTGAGACTAGGGGAGGAGAAAAACTGTGGCTCGCCAGATGTTTTTCTCTACTTTTGTCATTAGCCCTAGCCAGCAAAGACAATGGGAAGCGTTCATGAGAGTTGCATGTGGAGATTGGCGGCAGAGGGCCTCCTCCGGGAACCCTCGGTGAAGGACATTAGGAGAGTGAGTACCCAGAGGAGGGCCTTCTCTGCAGTGGCGCCCCACTTATGGAATGTGCTCCCCAGAGAGGTCCGCCTGGCGCCGTCGTTGTTTTTCGGCGCCAGGCCAAGACCTTTTTATTTCGACAATATTTTAATAACTGTTAATATCATTTATTGGTTTTAATTTCTACACAGCCAGGGAGAATCCGGATTTTATATGTATTTTTTATATGTTGTTTATTATGTTGGAAGCTGTCCCGAGGCTTATGCGAATGGGACAGCATACAGAGACTCCAAAAAAATAAATACAAGTTTTGCAGACCCCTTCATTAGTGCCCATTTTGGCGCCATTTTAACAAATGCTCACACATTGTCTTAAGAGATATACAAATGTCAAGTAGGAAGAATAATCCACTTCCAAACAAAGCATATGGTCATATGTGAGCCTTCATTGAGAAATTAATATGCACTCAGCTTAACCACATAACACTTGGATGTTTAACATGCAAGTCACTGTGACAGAATCTTGACCACCATCACTTAGCAGTGTTTAGTTGCAAGGACAGAAGTCCTTAAAACTCATCAAGATTAAGGGCTTTCATACAGAATGTAAACATTTAATAGTTTTATTTCTACATGGATGTTTTAGTTGGGTTTAGCTTAATTTTGCTATTATTTTAGATGGGTTTAGCTATTTTGATACACAAAGCACCATCTTGAAAGCTGTTTTGCTGTCTTCATTTTTTAATAACAGAATTGGGCTGAATATTATTTCTTCTTAGTATTTGACTAGATGAACTACCTTTCAAAATCAAAGTGTAGAAAAAAGAACACATTTTAAAATTTAGAACATCACTTGCTATAGGACAGCTTTTAGCCTTGAATTCTATTGCCCTCTTTATCACCTTTCAGAATTTACACAAGCTACACCAAAACCGAGTATGTTCTAGATGAAACCCTTGAAGGTATGGTAGAAGAAAACAACACTGTAAGGTAGTGGATGCTTCTTCATTAGAGGTTTCTAAGCAGAGGCTGGATAACTACCTATCAACAATGTTCCTGCAAGCAGATTTCCTACAATAGCAGAAGGTTGGACTAGATAGCTTTTGAGGTCCAACCTAATTTTCTGCCAAGATAATCTTGGCATCTGCCATAGTGGAGAGAAAAGCTTCTATAAACATCCAAGGACAAACATTGTGAAGGCACTGGGGGAAAATGCATAATACACAAGGAGAAACACTACAGCAAAATCAATTAGTTGGTTCTACATTTTAAGTTTACACAGACTTAGGAATCTCTAAACACATTTGATCTTTAAATTGACTGAGCAATTTTAGCATACACGACATGATAGTTACATAGTACTCAGTTCTGTCCAGCATTTTGCCCTCCTCCTCTCTTTCTTCTTCCTTTAGGTAAGAAAAAAAGGAGAGAAATCAGTGCAGTCCTAGAGTACCAAACATAAACACCGATTATGTAATTTGATCATTGAATAAATATTGCTAAAGGGGAGAGGAAGGGTTTTCACAAACTTTACTAGCCCAAACTGGTAGCCACCAATCCAACCAAAAATATATGTCCACTGTCCTCACAAGCCTTCCAAACACAGCAATTAATGACACATACCTACTGGCAAGAGTGGAAAAACAGAACTTTTGAGAGTCCACTGGGTGTGTACAAGCAAAACAATTTTTACAGTTTAATTCAGCTGTACAGGAAAATAAATGTGTATGTAGATCAAGATGGAGTCTGTACAAGTTTTTATAGCCTACCAGTTGCATACAGTTTAGATGAGTGGTTGAGGATCAGGTAGGCAGTATGCTAGAAACACCTTAGGATAAAGCATTAGGGTTGAACACAAGACAGAGAGACCCTTCTGGAAGGGCAGGTATTGGCTTGTCTAAGGTGTGCCCCAAAGGACAGGTCTTTCAGGACAGGGCCTTCAACATTTCTAAAGCATACTGGGAAGCAAGGTTCGTAACATTTATTCCTGGTCAGATCAGGAATCCTATTTAAGCCTAAAACTGCTCTTACAGTATTAGGCTTTTAGCAGCCATCTTATGGCAAAGCTTTTGTTCCTTTTGCCCTGGGACTACCCATGATTAGATGGAAAGAAATTCTACAATTTGCAGCCAACATTCCTGCCTGCTAGGGAGTTGTAACCCATTTTTTCCCTACCGAAATGTGCATCGGGCTGCTTCTTAAGAGTAGCTATCACAAAAAGGGTAGGCAGCCCCTTCTATGATTACAACACTTTGCATTTCAAACAAAAAAAAAAAAAACACAGTGGCTCCCTAAATACTTCCTTTTAAACACTGGCAAGGAACACCAGCTTAGCGCTGTTATGGGGAACAGAAAAGTCTGGAATACATAACACCCTCATGTCCACTTAAAAGTCCCACGGCACTCAATGGACATCACTCTCGGGTAGGGAGGGAGCAAGACTGCGGCCTTCAGCAAGCTTTCTCCTCACCCTAAAACAAATGCACACTGGAAAAGCGCCTTAAACGGGAAGGAAAGTAACGTGAAAATGCAGTTAAGCGTTTCAATTCCCCTATTAAAGAGGGGCTTTGGCGGTCCTGTCCCATTCCCTGGAAGAGGCAGCTGCAAACATCTTGATGCCCGCCTCCCATCTTAAGCAGAAGTAACTCATATTTCGAATGCGAGCAGGGACGGCGCAAGCCAAGAGAAAGACACTCGGGCTCAGCTTTCGTCAGCATTATACCACCAAATGTTTGCAGCTACAATTCTTATTATCTACTTCCCACGTTGGCTGGAGCTGATCGAGATTATAACCCAAAATATGTGGCGGGCAACAGGTTGGGGAAAGCTGCTCTACACACCCCCGATTTGAAGGCGGGGTGAATTAATCAGAAATTTTAAAAAGTCCCCAGGAAGCTCCTATGCAGCCCATTACTTAAAAGTTCATTCGGTAGGCTTACTTGGAATTAATTCAAGCATTTCTACGTACCATTCAGTTTAGCGGGGTCTATCCTGCGGAAGCTCCTACGGGCTCTCAATCTTTCCGTTTAGTAAATCGTGCCGGCATTTGCAAGCTGTGTTTGTTCAAGAGACCTTCCTCGGTGCAATCAGATTACGATTCACACATACACACTGCTAGCGTTTACTTACTCCAATACACAGAGCAATACAAAGAAGCGGAGCGGGAAAAAACCTTGAATGGAAAAATCCAGGCTTGCATACGTCCTGGTCCAACTCAAAGTAGAAATTAGTGGAACGCCAATTAGCATTGCATGCTACCGTCGCGTATTCCCCGCCTATAAACTAACCTGTGGCAGGATCGCGCAGCATCGCTTCCAATCCCCCCCACCACCCACCAGGAAAGCCACGTGCGGCCTTAATGAGCGCTCCGGCTGCACCTGACTCCGCTTTCAGCCGTTGCTGCTTCCAGGCCCGGGGTTTTACATGGAGGCGCCAGGGTTCAGGCCTGTGTATGCTGGGAGAGTATGGCTACTGAAAACTCCTTGAGTATAGGCCCCGGTAGCGTGCAAGGAATTGCCTTCAAAGAACGCTGTGTAATCCCATGCAGTTTTCCTTGGTGCGTAGGACGACCAAAGCGCCGGCGCTTGCGGTATAAAATTGTGCAAGATTAGTTAATAGACGCAGAGGGCGACGCTATTCGTTTGCAAACAGGCGGCATTAGTGCATTTGCTGTTTCTTGGGGAGATAAGAGGGAAGGGGTCGGGCTGTGGTTTTAAAAGTTTACTGTCCCAGATGATAGAGATTGAAAGCAAGTAACTGTTTCTTTGTTAGGATTGCAGCACAAACTAATACTTTCTGAAAGGATAGTGACAATTCGTATTTCATACTTTTATAGTGCTAGCCTAGTATTTAAAGGTCCCACTGAGTTCAACTGCTGCAAGGCAACTGCGTTTAAGACCACAGCCTTTATTTCCTTTGGAAGAAAAGGTGTTGTGTTAAACTACTTGCCAGGGCAAGGAGAGCCTGTGCGGTGTAGTGGATAGGATTGTGCAATCCACCTTGAATTCCTTGCAAGAAGTGCATATAAATATAAATAAATTAGACTTACTCTTAGGTAAGTTTGTATAGATTTGTATAGGTGTACTCTTAGGTAAACTTATATAGACCTAAGGATTCCCGCATCTTCTTTTGTACTTTATTGTATTTCTATTCTCCCTGCCTCCATCAGAGCCATTCCCCCCCCCCCCCAACCATCTTGTGAGTGGGAATAGATAAAGCGGTTGGCAACTTTTGGTCTGAAAGTTCCACCAATGGTCAGAGATTCTGGGAGCGATAGCCCTGTCTGAAACTTCTTGTGTGCACCGACTGATGGATTAAACGGAGACAGAAAGATTGAGGAAAAGACATGGATATTCATAGTAATATGCAGAAAATATACCATGCTGACTATAGTGCAGAATTCTAGTACTTGGAAGTGAGTTCCATTGAGTTCAATTACTACAAGATAAGTGTATATAGAACTTCAGCTTTTATTTCTCTTGTAAAAATTGTTCTTGGGGCTCTTTATTTGAGCTTTTAACTTTTAATGACTAGAAAGATGCTGATGAATACTTTGGAATAAATACACACATTCATAAGTAAAGTCTAGCATCTGTGTTGTTGTTTTGCTTGAATCTCAATCACTAAAATATTAAGAAGTACAAGAAGAGTAAACTTTATTCATAGGTTTCTCATTTCCGTAATGAACCAATAAAGTCCTGTTTCCCACAAATCTATCAACTTGCTGGTTCCTTCTCTGGTTTTTACCATATTTTGTAATGCCATACACATTTTTAGTAAACACTCAACAGAAGATTTCTTTAACCAATTTGCCACAACACACACTCCAATAGCTCCATGGTTATGCTTAATTCTACACAGGTCTACTCAGAACTCAAATAGGATTTCCAGGTAAAAAATTACAGGGTTGCCACTTTAAGACACACAATTCAGGGTAAATAAGCAACATATATTTTAATACCATGTAATGAAACAAATATCCAATAGATATTAACTGTAGGACATAACCATCAAATATGAATGCTGTCTGTTGATCGTTTAGCTGCATGTCTCTGAAGACAAACTTATTTATAAACCTGTCAGTATTTTTGTTTGCTCTGAAGTAGGTCCCATCAGAGAAGTATTAGTAGGAGTCCCTGCTCTCTGGAGGTTATCAACTTCCTGTTTTCCACAGGTACTTGCTGAAATAAAGGTCTTAATAAAGCTTTAGGAAGTGGAGTAGTACCACATATATATTCTGATTTGTTCATTAGAACTACTGTGGAGTAAGTGTGTTGCAAATTGCAACCTCCTCCCCATGCACAGCTGAACTCAGGTTTCTAGAATGGCTAAGGAGTGTTGAATTTGTTACTAGAATTTGCTAAGTAGTGCAGACCCAATCCTAGCCATGTGTATGCAAAAGGTAAGGTCCACTCAGTGCATATTTACTTGGAAACGAGGCTTTCTGATGAGTAGAACCTTAATGTATTTCCTCAGAGTAAGTCTCATTAGATTCAGTCCTAGGAATATCTAATCAAATGGGACCTACTTCTAAGTAGACATGTATAGGAGGGCATTGTACCATCTGAATGGTACTGGAGTGAACCACTGCAAATCAGTAGTAACACGGATTTGTAGTGCTTAAGTGGGTGTGTGCATGCATGTCTGTTTGAAGGGATCAAGATTTTTGAATCCCAGAGCAAATATTTTCTTTCACAGCACAATGTTATACAAGTAAGTATACTTTGAACAAAATGGGAGTTAGTCTCAGGTAAATGGGTTCAGGTTTGCCGCTTTAAGTATATATAACCCCTCTCAGTTTAACATTCCTGTGGAAGGAAACATCATAGACAAAGCCATCATGACATTTTTTGTAGTTTGCATGATGAAAGAGTAGTTGTTTCTTATTACTGCGGTGAAAGATTGACATATTACTACAGAATCGCTCATGAAAGTTCTAAAGGGGGGTTCTTTGGTTTCATGTTGAACAGTGACATTGCAAAGGCTTAACAGATATTTGTGATGGCTGGACAGTTTGCCTCCATCCAATAGGGTACTGATTGTCCCTTTCAAATTATTTGAGCTTACATAATGGGTAAAATAAATAGACACAGGATAATTATTGTACTGTTGTTCAGGAATTATTTCTTACAATTATATTCCACCTTTTTCTCTAAGTTGCTCAGACCAGCATGTATTCTGGTTCACTCTCTCCCATTGCATTCTCACCACAGCTCCATGGACCATAGGTTAAGAGGAGAGGTGTGCTTTCCTTCAAGCAGATAGGTCAAGAATAAGACTGTAAGTCATCATTGGCTTTCATTCAAGCATTTTGGTTGAGATGGGCTTTGTGCACTGTGTGGATGGTTTTGGGTAGATTATAGGTATAGGACAGTCCTGGGGAGAAAATGAACATCCTAAAGTTTTTAGATTTATACTGGCTTCCATGGCAATGCTTAACTGTGAGAGGGTTACCTGTATTTGAGGTGGCAATTGTGCACTCACCTGAGAACGTGTATGGGAATTCAGTTGGACTGACATGCATACTATTGCACCATGAATGAATGTATCATCCACTCTGAGTCACAACATCTCTTGCCTCTGCTGGAGATTAGCTGGAGATTAAGTCATGCTGATGTCACCTACTTCACTGTCTTGAGGAGTACATGCTTGTTTTACCTGGATGGCAACGGTTAGGTCATGCTTGCCTGGGAAGTAGTCTTGTGGCTATCAGCAAAAGTCCCCTCCTCCCAGGAGTATGCAGACTTGGGCAGTAAAAGTTCAGTCCGGATGGGGAGCATGACTCTTTCAGAAAAGTGTCGTTTCCATCTCTTCCCCTTTTGATTGCTCCTCTCAGGTTCAGGGGTGCCATCAAAAAACATTCCTCGTAATAATCCACAGTTTATTGCAATGGCAAGTGGAGAGGTCCAGGCTCATTGCTCGCAAAAGCTGTCCCCCACCTCACCCCCAGCTTGGGGGTGGGTGAACTTTGTGTACCACAAACCCATAGGCTAAGATCCAGGAAACTTTGCATAGGCTTTATTTTATTTTATTTGCCTGTTTGTTATTCTTGTATTCTGCCCCATAGCCTGAAGGGTGGCTCACAAAGAGATATAACAATTATCATAAAATCATAAGATCATAAAGCAGAGTTAAAATTGTAAAAGCTAATCATCAGCATAAAACCTGAATGACATAGCATATCATAATATACCAGACAGGAGAACATAAAAGCAAAAAACAATAAAATGGCATAAAAATAAACAACTAATTAACATAGAAACATAGAAACAGAGTGAGTTAGACGGGACCTCCCAGGCCATCTAGTCTGACCTCCGGCACCAGCTGGCTCCACTCACAACATGCCCACCATGTGCATGTCCAGCCTATCCTTGAACACCCACACCGATGGGGCCCCAACCACCTCCTCTGGAAGCCCATTCCACACCCTCAGGGTCTTAACTGTCAGGAAGTGCTTCCTGGCATCTAAATTAAAACCAAGTATTAAATAGAAAAACCTTAACCTGGCAGCAGAATGCAAGTAAGGGTGCTAAAAATGCTTCCTTGGGAAGGACATTCCAGAAGCAAGGTGCAATAGTGGAAAAGGCCCTTCGCCTCACCATTTCCCCTTTTACCTCACTGGGGCGGCTCATGAAGAAGGGCCTCCATTGAAGATCTCAGTGATGTGGTAGGGATATAGGGAGACAGGTGTTTCTTTGGATACCCTGGCCCCAAGCCATTTATGTTAATGGGCCTGGGCAGTTGATGGAGAACCAGCATAATACACTCTCTAGAACAGGTCCACACACTGCTCTCTTTTAAATTATTTGGAGTGTACAGACCAGCTTCAAAAGCAGTCCCATGCAGAACACATAACAATAATCCAGGTGAGAGCTTACCAGTGTGTGGATAACTTGCCAAGCTTCACTCATCTATGTAGGAACATAGCCGAAAAATCAGCCTGGGCTGATAGAAGGTGCTCCTCGCCACTGAAGACGAGTGACAGCTTGGGGTCAAGAAGCACCCCCAATCTATGAACCTTGTCCTTCAGTGGGAGTGTGACTACATGCAGGACGGGCTGAAAATTTCCCAGTTGGGCAGATGGGCTACCCACCAATAGCACCTCCATCTTGTCTGGACTGATTTACTGGATCGAGGTCAAGCATTCTGCTCTGAACTATCCCATGCAAATTCTTTTCAGAAAGTGTAAGGAAGGAAGAGGTTGGGCCTCCTTTTAAAATTGCCCCAACCCTGTGGTTCTCTCTTTCCATGCATGTCAGACTGCAAGTCTTACCCCACATCCATTTTTATATGGAAAAAGTCTTCCAACTCCTAGCATGCCCCAGGACTTTTCCCCATCTAAATATGAATAGGATTGTATATCTGTAAACTGTTTCTACTGACATATCTGTCAGTATCTACACAGCCTTTCATGTGTGTGGTTCCAATTACCTCCTGATTAAAATGATCCTTTTATTTATTCACACTTTGTCTCTATGGTGTGCATCTCTCTGTGTGAGAGAGAGGGAAAAAGAAAGAGATTTATTTGGGGAATTACATTTTGCCATTTAAAAACCTAATCCGCACTGCCCATAGAATTGTTTTAGGTGGTGATTTTTATTTCTATTTTTCATTTAGAATTATGATTTAGAATTTGGCCTCTGATCCTAAATATGTAGATACTGATCATATTGAGTAACTTAAGTCCTGTTGGATACCAGGTAGTAGATCAGTCACGACCAGCTTTAACTGGATGGTGGTATGGTTGACTGGGAAAGGGCCCTTTGCTGACTTCTTGCTGCTGAGCAACCTTGAGACAGCTGAAGTGGAAATAGATTGGCTGAAGTTTGACCCTCTGGTAAAAACCGGAATGGGTTCATCACAGGTCTGCCACTGACCAGATGAGTGCACAACTTGATGGTTCAGATCCACAGCAGTGGAAATCAATTTCTAAGTCCTGAACAGATTGTTAATCTCAAACAGTCCTGCTCACGTCTCTACCCCCTTGTAGATCGCAATTAAAATAGTTGGTGGTGTTTCCTTTTGGGGCCTCTCTGCACAGAATGCATTCATAGTTAAGCAATTCTAATTTTCTTCTGCAGATTTACTTCCGAGTAAGCGCGCTTATGCTGACTCTCTCCCCTTCGGATGCGACAGCTGCGCCTGCTGGCTTCGGGCCCCGCTCCTCGTTGAGGTCCTTGATCTTGTGCGGGGGGGCGGGGGGGCGGCTGGTTGATTCTTGCTCCTCAGACCCGAGGACTGAAGGTGGGGAGGAGCGCCACCCACGTGCTGTCAACACGGCAGATCAGGTATGTGGGAGGGTGAAGGTCGCAGGCAGAAAAGGTGCCCATCCCAGCCCGAGCAGCTCAGAAGACGAGCCCGAAGACGAAAGAGAACTTCAAGCTGATTTCAGCACCTCCGGGGCGGACAGAGGCCAAGCGCTGGCGAAGGCGAGGCGAGGGCGACGCGGCGACTTATGCAAGGCAAGTTGGGCAAAGCTGTTGAGTGCAGTCCCAGGCCGGTCTATCTATCCAGCCGTCCGATTGCATTTAGGAGCACTTACTCCAGGCTACCTGGGCAGAGGAGATCGTAGCCGTTTTAGCCCTTGACTTTTCACTGAGAAAACCTTCTTCTCCCATTTCTATTTCTTTTATCTTTGACATCCATCAAAGGGAAAACTTCTGGACTCTCTTTCTCTCCCCCCATTTATATCCTGCCTTTTCTCCAGAAAGCTCAAGGCTGCATTTATGGTTCTTTCCACTCCTTGCCTTTTATCCCGTGAGGGAAATTAACCTGAAAAAGGTGTACATTATGAAAATCACAGATATGTGATTGCCATGTACAATGTCCCAGAGGGTCCCCCCCCCCATGATCAGGAAATTCCATGTACGTATGAATCCTGCAGCATCTGGCAGCAACACTGGAACATGGGCAGCTGTTGGGCAGATGTGACTTACGTTCTAGTTGGTAGGCCTTGGCGGTGGAAATATTTCAATTTTTGTATGTTCACACAAGCTGTTCAGGAAGTTATTCTTCCAAGTTCTAGTTAATAGAGTAGAACCTGTCTTGTGGTTTTATGCAAATACAACAAAATGTTTCAAGAATGAGCCCTTGCCTAGAAAATATAACTGTTCTCTGGGATGTGTTCACCAATGATTTGTTTTGACAGATTGAAATGAGACTTTACTTCCAGAAGTGGGTAAGGAAGAGGGGAAAAGGGAAATGCTTGATGTTGCTTGCGATTCCTTGTTGTCTTCTAGTTCCATGGTAGATATGGCAACGGACCTCTTTGAAGACTCAAACTGCATCTGTTCCTTTGGGATGAAGTTAACCTGGGATATCAATGACCCCAAGTTACCACAGGTAGTGAACAAGACGGGAGATTTCAAAGAAAGTTATGCACTTAACAAAATAGTTTGGTAGACTACTTATCTAAAGGCTTTTCCCACACAGACAAAGCACATTTAACTGCTTTTTGCCATGTGATAACACTCCTGAAAGTGGTGGTTAAGAGGGCAGGATTGGGACTCAGGTGATCTGGGTCTAGTCCCTGCTCAGCCATGGAGCCAAATGGGTGAATTTACACCAGTCACAGACTCTCATCCCAACCTACCTCACAAGACTGAGAGCAGGAGGACGATGTAAGCCTCTTTGAGTTTGTTATAGAAAAAAGTGGGATATAAATCTAATAAATAAACTAAACCATAATGGCATGATTTCTGAACTGCATGGAATTGAAGCATGGCTTTTTATCCACATGTGGTTTAGAATATTTATTATATTTATATCCTGCCTTTTTCCCTTTAAGAAAAACAAGGTGGCTTACTTCATCATCCTTCTCTTCTCCATTTTATTCTCACTGTGAGGTAGGTTATGCTGAGAGTCAGTGACTGGCCTAAAGGTACCCTGTGAGCATCCTGGTTCACTGAGGACTAGAACCCAAATCTCCTGGGTTTCCATCCAGTTGAGCACTAACCACTATGCTACACCAGCTCATGTTGCCTTAATTTTGCCTGCATGCCTCTTCCAGCACAAGAGGAAAGGAGTACAGCATGTCCCTGCCCGCCACCCCCCAAAAAAGAAAACAAGAAAGAAAAGGGGAGGCGGACAAAATTACAAAGTGTGTGCATGGAGCTATATTTGCAGTTCTTTGCTATTTAAGAAAAGCACTTTTGATAACTTGGTCCTTTCATGGGAGAAGGTGGAAAGAAGGAGCAGAAAGCTACCAGGATTTTTTTTAAGCTTTAAAAAGAAAGTTCATAAAGGGGCTGAAAAAATACCATTGCTCCTCACTGGTAATGTCACAAAAAACACCATTAGGTCTTGGTGATATTTGCACAGCCACCAATGATAGATTAAATTGATTTCAGTGGGATGCACAATTCAGTATAAATAACCCCAGTGTTCATCTGGAGTGTACCTGTGAAGCCGATCCAGATGTAGATGCTGACTGGAAAGTTACTGGCTTGAGGAATTTTGTGCATTGGAACTCCGATTAGTACAGGGAGTTTGGGATTCAGTGGGTAATTAGTACATTGATGTTGCTTGCTTGTTTTTCAAATGCTGTCTTACATGGTTGTTTCCACCATCACCTTTTTTAATATAAAGAAAAGCACTGGGAGAGTTTCACATTCATGAAATATGCCACATATTAACATAACCTTTGCCTACTTTTCTTTTTTCCTTCTTTCATTCACCTTGGTTGCAGGAGAACAAACACTTTGATTGCTTCCAAGAATGGCCAGATGGCTACTTGCGATTCATCTACTCTAATGAAGACAAAAATGCTCAGCGGCATCTCAGCGGCTGGGCTATGCGCAACACTAATAACCACAACTGCCAGATTCTCAAGAAGTCCTGCCTTGGTGTGGTGCTATGTGCCAGAAATTGTACCCTGCCGGATGGGACAAAGCTGCAACTCCGGCCTGCCATATGTGATAAGGCTCGCCAAAAGCAACAAAGTGAGAGAGATATGTGATAAGAAACACAGAAACAGAGCAAGTCAGAAGGGGTCTCCAGGGCCATCTAGTCTGACCCCCGGCTCCAGCTGGCTCTGCTCATGACATGCCTACCATAAGGAAGGCTCCCAAATGGCTATATCGTTCCACTCTGGTCTGGGAGTCGAGGACCTTCATAGAGAGTCCTGTCTAGCAAAGGTTGTGTGTGGAGGAAATCTGCCTGATTAGATTTCTACCCTCAGCACAGCTCTATATTTACTTGGCTTTTCAAGTAAAATGTCTAAGCTAGTTCCCACCTCTCCAGTTCCTAGAGGTGAACCTTAAGGTTTGTAAAGTCCTGTTTTTGGCATTTATGAGATGGCTATTTGAAGTGATATAATATCACATGGAAAAATTGCACTCAGATCCATATCACTATTCTAAAGATGGTTCTAGCAGGAACAGCCTGAATTAAACGTGAATCTGTGAAGAATTTCCTACAAAAGTCTAGGCTCTATGTTCGTTAGCTTTGTAGAAAGAATGCATGGAAAAACTGCTCTCAGTTTAACTTTGACATGCATACTGTGCTTATAAAATGCTTTTTGTCTCATAAATGCCAAAAATTGTGGAAAGATGCACTTGCTTTGAGATCTTCCAGTGAATACTGAATTTATATCTCAGTCCTTATTTTCTATCTTGTTAAGCGAGAGTAAGGATTAATGATCTTAAATCAAAATCACAAAAGTTATCCATCCTGCAAATATCTTTCTTAGCAAAGTAAAGTTATGAAATAGCTCAGGAGGAATAGTCAACCTGGTATCTTCCAGATGTTTTGAACTATAATTCTCAATAATTTGCCATTTAACATGCTGACTGGAACTCATGGGAGTTGTAGCCCAAAACATCAAGAGGGTACCACATTGCCTATCACTTATCTGACTGTTGTTCAATCTCACTCTTTGGCGAAATGAAGTTTGTCTTGCTGAAGCTGGAAGGGCTGGTGTATAAAGAAGTGCTGGAAATCCCAGTGAATGTTACACAGAAGAAGAGCAGTTGGTGGGTTCAGAAAAGTATGTGGAATGAGAAAAGCTATCAAATACATAAATGTTTTAAAGCTATAAGCAATTAACATTTTGAAAAGGCTAGTAATGTTATAATTCCCTCTGTCTGAGAATCTACTTTTTTTTTTTTTTTGCTCTGCTTATGGGTTTTAAATTTCAAAATACGAAATACTTCTGTCTGACTTAACCCCCTATTAATCTCATTCTCAGACCCTGCAACGATCTCACTCTCTCTCTCTCTCACTCTTTCTTGCAGAAAAACATTGTCCAAACTGCAGTTCAGCCACTGAGCTGATACCTTGCAGGGGACACAGTGGCTACCCAGTAACTAACTTCTGGAGACATGAAGGCAAGGCAATATTTTTCCAGGTAAAATATGAATGAAACATGTGTTTCCTCTTCTTATACTGAGTGCTTTGGCTTTTGTGGATGAAAAACAGAATGTGCAAAATCATATCTACATTGTAAGATAATGAGAATTAATACTGGATCAACACTTCATTGCTTATAATAATCATGCATGTTCACATTTTCCTTACCCTTGTGAATCAAATATATTCTACTGCATTCAATGATACATCAGTGCAATACAGTTTCCCATATAATTGTACAGGGATTCTGCTCCTTCATTGTGCAATTTCACTACAGGACTTTTTCTTTTATTTTAAATAGATATTTACATTTCAGGACCCAAGTAAATGCCTGCCATTGTAGTTCAGAGTTTTACAAGCTGGCCTCTTGCTATTGCCACCAATTCTCATAGAATACTTGGAACTCTTCCGGTAGTTTGGCATAAGAGGCTTAGACATGGGATGGACACCAGCACTAGAAACAAAAGGAGCAAGTAAACAAGTTGGTGCATAAAAGAGACTTTTTCTACTATGGGAATGCTACTAGTTACTTTAGGGGTTCCAATAGATTGCTTTCTAACAGTTCCTAAAGGATCAAGAGGCACCATAGCTAACACAAACCTCAGGCCAAATGTCCTAAACCTCAGCTGAATATGCTCATACCAAGTCCAGTGGTTGGGTTGGGAAAAGCTCTCACTGAGAGTGGCTGCCAGTCTGTATGGACAGTATTGAGTTCAATGGGCCAATGATCTGACTCCATTTAAGGCTGCTCCCAGTGTTCCTGTATTGATATTTCTTCAGGCCAAGGGGATACATGACCATCCGAGACCAGAGAGTAAATCTGAGACAGAGGTCAGAAGAAGTGCCCTGAAAAAACAAACACCATCTTCTCTTTCAGCCCAGAAAAAACGGGTTCTGGATTTTCAGGTAACTTATATTTCTGCAGTCATGCTGGTGTGAAATGCCGCCAGTCAATCTGAATGTGAGCTACTGTGACAAAATGCACACACATGTATAAACTTCAAATAAATAAATTAGTGGGATTACAGCTGGCAGGGACATTGAATCGATCTTGTTTGAAGTTATGTTTCTGATAAATGAATTCCCGTCCACTTCACAATATAAAAATACATTTTTAACCTAGTATCAGAAAATATAGAGAATACTCAAAGGGATGCATCTTTGAAATGTTATATGGGGGTAATCCTGGGCCAGCTATATCTTGAATAGAGCTTTAAAAACTGGGGAAGTTCATGGTCAATGAATTTCAGAGCAGATTTTTAGAATCACTGCCTTGTTGTGCATTGTATCTCTCTAACCAAGAGGTGGGCAGCTTCAGCAGTCTGGGAAGGCATCTTTCCAGTTTATGAATTCTACCCCACTCTGTGGGATGCAAGCCTATTGCTGCCACTGAATTTTGCAGCAGGAAAAAAGGCACCAAATTCAGTGGCAAATCACTACAGAGACTCAAAGGGGCCATATTTAGTTTGCCTACTAGTCAAATTTGGCATTTTGGAGTCTCCATAGGAGTCTGTCACTGGATTTAGGCAGGAATTTTTTTTGCCACTGCCATATGGTGGCAAAAACAGCAAAGGCAGTACTCAAGACCATGGGGAGGCCTTGATCTATCCAGATATAATTGTGAAGGTAGAAATTGCATTACTGAAGATTATTGCAAAATTGTGGAATAAACAAAGTAACACAAGAAGGAGTTAAGTCTCACTCATACTGAGTTTTTCCACAGTCTTACATATAAGTACTGCAGGGAGAAAGCCAAGCTATCTCAACGGTCTACTGGTGAGTCAGCAGGCACCCCAGTGACTGCTGGAGAAGGTGCAGTTTAGTTGCTGTTGATGGGGTACTGTAGGGTTTTCCACAGGATTGCATTTAAATATTCAGAAATGCAAACCAGCCATCAGAGTAATGACCAGAATGTGTGAATTAGAGATCAAACATCTTTTGTATAACCACAACACAAAATGATATTCAATGGAGTCTGTTTACATTCAGCTGCATATTATCAAATGCTGAGTCACTGCGGGGATGAAATGGATTGATGTACATGTAGTTCTGAAGTGATCTCTGGTTTTTAGTATTTCCATTTTAATGTGGATAGATACATTTTCTGTTTAATTTGCTTAATGCATGATATGGCCATTCATTGAACCGGCACTTGGGAGACTTTTTATGGAAAAACAACTCATTAATGCAAGGAAAGTACAGATAAATTTAATGATTCTAAGGCAAATGCACAGAATGTCAGCACCAGTCTCACAGTTCATGTTCCACTGCCTTCTCCAGTTGAAGTTTCATTTGAAAACGAAACAAAACACAGATAAACAGCTGCAAAAAACAGTTAAAATCAGGGTCCCCAGCCATGAACACATTTGGGAATTTGAGAAATCGTTGTGGGTGTCATCGCAAATTGGCTCTCATGATGGAATGCAGCCATCTAATGGCTGACATGTGGGCACAGCTAGTTAGGAGATGTTGGGGAGAGAAACAGAAGGACTAGAGACCGGGAAGCAGGGGGAAACAGAAGGGGGTTCTGACCATACAGACCTTTCTGCTTTGTGCTCGTGCTTGTTTGCTCGCTCTCTGTGTCCCCCCACTCCTAGTCTCTATCTTGCTTCTACAAGCCCTTTCCCCACCCTTTCTCTTTCCTCTCTCTCCCTGGCCATCCTTTTTATTCCCTTCCTAGCCTTTCACTTTCTTTTCTACTCTGCCCTTTATCATGCCATTTCCCTCCACTCCTAGTATCTCTGCTTTGCTCTTCCACTTCTCTCTACTACTTTGCCTGGCTCTCTGCTTCCTGCCCACTGAACTGCTGAGCAGTGGCAGATTCGGGAACAGGAAGGAGAGCCTAGCATTGTAATATTTTTCATTTTATTATTTTTCTCTTTTTGGAAGGGGGTAGAGTGGGACAAGCTGCGTGGGTAGTATTGGAGGTGCCTGTAGGTGTCAAGGTACCCAAGGGTGCTGTGTTGAGTACCCGTTTTGGACTTCAATCAGCAACACTTGAAATACCCCTTTGCCATAATATTCCATGTGTGCATCCAACTGTTGTTTCGACATTGTTTAAAATTTACATTCTCTTTAGACAGGACCGTGCAATGAAAATGGTAATCACTTTCACTACTTTCAACATCTAGCCTGTGAAGAAGGACCAGAAAAATTCAGCATAATTACAGATACCAGCTTACCACTCCTAGGTCAATCTCACCATTTATTTCAAAATGCAGAAGCATACAACATTACTTATGAGGCAGCCAGCTTTCAAGGAGATATGGTATCGCCACTCCAGAAGTACCCAAGCCCCAAAATCTACGCATCTAAACCCGGTCGTGGCTATGAATATGCATTTCCTGGTTACATCAGTTCTACTTTGTATCCAACATTTCACAAAGATCTGATGGAAATCCCAGTGGATACCGATCATGTAACACTGAATGGACTTCAATGCCATGTCAACTTGGTAAATGTCCAGGAAAAGAACTTGGATGGACTCCATATGCATCATGGATTGAAACAGACCGTAGGAGAAAGTAATAATGGAGAAAGGATTAGTTATGAGCCATGTCCAGCCAATGTTAACCTCCCCCATTATAGTGAAGAATATGCTTGTAGATATAGCAGTCATTCCTCTCTGGAAGTCCCAGCTTTACAAACAGTTATAACTACAACTACCAAGATGTCCCTTGAAGCCTACAAGCCTCCCATGGCGAAGTGTAGTGACAATTTCTATGATGCAAAAGATCTTCTGAACTCTTCTCTAGCAGATAACATTTCTGGAAGTGTCTGCCCAGAGATCAACTTCCAAGTAGACTGGGGCATAGGGAAACCCCATTTGCTTGGTGAGCATTTTTTGACCAGTAATGAGACAGAAAATGCAGCATCAATGGAGGCTTGTCTGGAAGGTCCTCCTAACATAGAAAAAAGTTATACTGGATTTGAAGGACAGACATTCAGATTTGACAATACTGAATGCTAAGCCCCACATAGAGCAGTGTCAGATATTATATTTATATATAAAATATCCACTTGTTGGATTTGGGAGATTTGATCAAAACTGGAATGTAGCAGCAAGTGATATGCTAAAAAAAGCAACCCTTGCATTCATTTAACATTTTTGTTTGTTTGTTCACCTATTTAATACAACTGCTTGCATTAGCAATACTGTTCAGCAGCAGCTACTGTATTGTTAAGAGGTTCTTAAAATAAAACTTTTTTAAAAAATGTGTCTCATTTGTAAGTGAGCGCATGGGTCAGTTTGAAATTGTTCATCATGGTAAGAGAAGCAGAACCCTTTGATGTTTTCACCCCAAGCTAGAGCCAAGTCAGCTTTCCTCCAAGAAGCTCAAGGTGATGCATGTGAATGTAATCTTTATTTTATTTTTAACTTTATGAGGGAGGTTAGGCTGCAAGTGTGTGGGTGGCAGGGGGAGAGCTGAACCGCAGTTTAAGTCTTGCCACCAGACTCTGTCCTGGCCATCTGTGATTCAAGCTCTTCTCCATAACCAAACAACACTCCCCCTTCAACTTTATTTTAATAAAAATTGTCAACCAGCTAAGTAAGGTTGATTCTGCATTTGGTGTAGGACAGGCTAGACACATGGGCAGCCCCCTAAATTTAAAAATCAGTTTGCCATGTGACTTGAGGAATTGATGGCAGAGGAAACCTAGTCTAAAGCCTTGGGCAAAGAGTACCAATTTCAAGGTTCTTTGCATCCTGGATGTAGTCTCACAATAGCTGTAGCTATTTGATTTGGGCGGGGGGGAAAGGGGATCTTCTCATAAGCCATAAGCCAATTCATTGATACTACAAGTACCATGGTGCCATCCTTACCATATACACAAGTTTAAATGTTAGAAACAAAATATATTCATAGCATTACCTGTTAATTCACATTTCGTTTCTGCTTCCCATGTTAATATGATGGCTGCCATAAGCTCATGTCACATTTTATTGTGAGCATCTTTGTTTATTAAATTCCAGATTTAGTTGAAAAGGCTTAGCAAATAGAAGCTTTTAGAATCTCAGCTAGCTCTAACTGTAATTTCAGATGTGGAGGGTGGGGGGTTGGAATTCCATTATTAAATGACTATTGTCTAGAAACTTAACCTTTACATAGCAGCCCAGTTCAGTTCTTGTTCAGCTTAACAAAAACCAGAATGCAGCAACACATTCCAAAGAATACACTGATGCTCCTCCTGTTGCTGACTTTAGACATTTAAGAAAATGGCATTATATGTAGCATAATTGTATATAATTTTATTTAGAAGTAAAATCCACAAGTCAAGTGAAGCTTCCTCCCAAATAATATTACAGTAAAAATCATCATCATCATCATCATCATCATCATCATCATCATCAAGATCCCCACTTTCCAGTGGAAAACACTTGATGTGGTGTAATGTGAAAACAATCTGCTTGGCTTGAATTGGAAGATTTCCTTGAAGGGAAGGGAAGGGACGGGACGGGACGGGACGGGACGGGAAAATAAAAGAAAATCATAAAGCGTGAGAGCTAAGGCAGGAAAATGGTGCCTTCTCTCTTGGTCCCACTCACCACTGGAATGCAGCTGGTGAGTATTTCTCTGAAATTGAATTCAGCTTCAAGTGGAAAGAATTCCTCACCCCTGTTTAAAAGTCTCTTCCAGTTATTAACATAGGATTGGATCTAGAGAAGCACAAAAATAAGGACAGGCACTGAAGCATCCTTTCCAACCCCCTCCTCACCCCAGCCACGTGTGGTCCCATATAGATGCTCCTGAGATTCTGTATGGAGCAGAATAGTGTGGATGGACTGCAGAGGGCAAGATGGGCTGGGAAAGTTCCCTTGTCACTATTTGTCTGCCATTACAATTAGTAATAGTTGCTGATAACATTTCACTGATTTTATGATCAATGCATCTTTTCTGAATAGCCTCTCTCTAATGCTTCTTCTGCTCAAAGACCGGACTACACTTTTTTCTTCTTCTTTCATATTAAGGTTTATCTCTCAGACTCACCTCCTGCCAGGTATCACTATTGAGGAAACCTGCATTGCAATCTCTGGTACGACACCACAGAGAGAGAGGAAGGAAGCTGAAATGGGGCTCCTATCAGTAAGACAGAACTACATGCTGGTTAAAGTAATTACTTCGCATGGCCACTGGTGAATTGGCAAATAATTGGACATGCATTACCCGAAAGGAAAAGGGAGACAACAATTTGCATGTACAAATGTGCACTCATAAATGCAAATTTAGAAACTGCGGTTATAATTTGAAGTACAGTACTTCTCATCAGAATGTGGAAATATGTGATTAGGTGACCAGTGTGCTTACCTGTTAAGTCTTGCTCTCCATGTGTGGTCAATAGGTAGTGCCAAGGCCCAGCTTTTCCTTTGGAAGTTCTTTGTCTTCATACTGGTCTTGGCCTGGACAGCCCTTCACAACAATGATGTGTTCAAGACAGAGGACTGTCTTCTATAAAAGAGAGCACATGGGCACTCTGCCCAGCAGTTTCCAGACATTTTAACAAATGTCTTCACTAATGTCTATCAACCAAAAGAATGCAATACTAAGCAAAATAGTTTGTTAATTTGGTGTGGTACAGTAGCCAGGCTACTGAAAAAATGAGCCTGGGGAGACCCAGGTTCAAATCCCCCTCTGCCAAGGCATTTCATGTGTGCCCTTGGACCAGTCCCTGAGTTTTAGCCTAAGCTACCTTGTAGGGTTGTGTCATCAGGATTAAAACAGCACAGGAGTTCCTTGGAGGAAACTGTGGACTGTTAGAAAGATTCAAACTAAACTTCGTGGATGCTATTTACTTACCAAGTTGTCTGCAAATGTAGCCTGAAGTTGAGTTTTAAATTGAACAATGTTCAATTCAGAATCTGAATCAGCTTTCAACTAAGGTGGTATCCTGTGATGTACATAAGCCAAAGCGTAAAATGAGCAAGGGAACAGGTGCATCAGGCTGTTGTTGTTTCCCGTTTCTTTTGGGAAAATGCAAACTGCATTGCTCTTCATGGATCTTTTAGTTCTTGCCTATTATCTTTCATTGAGTTTCTTGGTTCACAGCAAAAGCATGGTACACTGCAGTTGTTATGTCTCTCGAGCAAAATGATGTGCTAACTGATCAGTATGTGTTGTTCATCCCATCGCTTTGGGAAACATGGCAGTTTTGTATAAACAACAAGAGGTACTTTCTAAGGTCAAGTTGGCCTATTATTTGTGAAATTTAAGAACTGGTACTAAGAACAAAACATGAATAGTGTGATAGTAGATCCATGAAGAACAACACAGATATGTGCCAGCAAATATAAATGCATAAACTTCAATTGACCAGCATCATATTTATTCCTACCAACAAACCTAAATATGTGGAGGTCTCTACTACTTAAAAGATTAAAATGCAATAGGAGTTCTTCTCACCAGAGACTAGTCACAATCCTGATGCACTTGCCTGGGAATAAACTGAACTGAATTTAGTTATATTATTCTTGAGCAGTCATGTATATAATTATGCTGCAAGAGCATTGCTTTTAGACTGCAATTTTCACACACACACACACACACACACACACACACAGACACTAGGGCGTAAGGCCCACTCAACGTTGTAAGAGTTATTTCTAAAAACACATCCATAGGATATATAGAGGATCCCAGGTTACAGTTATGAATGTTTAAGGACAAATACAAATTTAGACAGGAAAAATGGCTGCAGCCCACAGCATATGCCTTGAATTGTTTTGAAAACAAGGCATAACATGGATAGGAAAGCCAAAATGATAGTTTGTAATTATCATTGCTGCTACAGAAAGAACTCAAAAAGTGCTCACTTTATCCATTGATTCCCTAAACCATATGTCCTGAGGGCACACTTTTTCCTATCTATCTGTGTTTAAAGAGTGATGTGTAAGAAAGCACAAGAAGGAATCACATGGAAAATATGAATGGGAGACAGTGGAGGAGAAAGGTCCAGGGTTTTAAGCCACACTAACAGCTCTGACCACAAGGAGCATCTGATTGTTTTCCCCATTGGGCAGTGGGAAAGGGCACCTTTGGGCACCTTTGTTACGAGTGCCAGCTTGCTTCTTATCAGCCGCTTATAAGGATAAAAACCTTTTTTCTGTCTTGAGAGCATCTGGGGAGGAAGCTGCCAAGTGGTTCAGTCTTGCTCACTTCTGAAGCTTCTTGTGTAGAGGCCTGTCTGGAGCAGAGGTGCAAAATCTTGACTGTCAACTTCTGGGCACACATGAAGAGGCATATGACTCAGGATGCTATCTGAACCTGCTGCTGAAATCTGAGCCAACAAACCAAAGCCCTATCCTCCCTACTTCTGAATGGGATTAAAATGACTAACAATCACATTTTGGCTGTGCCTACTTTGCCTTTGGCCATACAGACTGATGGGGTGCGACTCCTACACCTTCCAAGTCTTAAATCTAGCCCTCAAGGTGAAAAAGTTCCCCAACTCTGTTTAATAGCCAGTCCTAGTCTCAATAGATAGGGATGTTTCAATCCTGTTCCACAGGAACAGATTTTTTCCTGTCAAGTCCGGATTTGTACGTGCAAAGTTTATTGCCATTTTAGCCAAATAATCTTTGTTTGATGATGGTGGTTGTGATGGTAAGGATGAAGCAACAGCACCAAATCTCTTATAATGTTGTTGTTACATGCCATCAAGTTGCTCTGACTTATGGTGACCCAATGAAAGAATGCCCTCCAAAATGTTCAGTCCTTCTTATCTTGTTAAAGTGCCAGGCTGGAAGCCAGCTCTTCTTATCTAGAGCTATCAAGAGGACAATTCTGATGGATATTATCATACCAGGAAGGATATCACATTTTGTTAGTAATAATTAATGGACAATATGTTGTGTCATCTGAATTCCAGAACAGCTCATTTTTCATCTTTCTCTCCCATTTAAGTTGTTCATTAAACCAGGACCTAGACCTGGTATTATGTAAACAATATCAGTAGGGCTAAATGACCAATTAG